GGGGGTCAGGAACAATATATTCTAAAATGAAATGGAGATCTTTTTTAAAGGTTAAAAACTCATCCAATTTTATGTCTTACAGGGCTCATACTGTGAACCTAGAAACTTGCACCCACTTGTGAAATAGATGTACTCTTGCTCTGGAGTGTGTTACTAAATATGTTAAAGCTGTAATGAAATGCTTCTTCAAATCATGTAGTTATTAAAATTTTTTTAATTTACTTCCTGTTAATTAGTAGATGTGAAAAACATTACCATTGAAATCTACCTGATGACTTTATATTCATGCTCAGATGCCTAGAAGCTCAGAAAGTAACCAACTGTGACTAGTAATAATCAGATATTTAGAGATTAGAAATGCATGTGCAAACATCCAATGTCAATTGCATTGAAAAATAATTTTTATGTATCAAACTGTGTATTTTAATAATGAAATGGAGATTTTTTTTAAAGGTTAAAATGTCATTTAATTTATGTCTTATAGCGTTTATACTGAGTACAATATTGTATAACTGTAATAATTCAACTGTAAACCTAAAAATTTACAGCCAATTTTGAAAGAGATGCATCCTACCTCAGGAAACCATTATTGAATATGTCAATTGTGTTGTAATGATATGCTTCTTCTAAGTACGTTGTTATTAAATAAATAATTTTTAAAAATTAAAAAAAAATATTTTGTTTATTTATTTTTATTTTATGTGTGTGGGTGTTATACCTGCCTGTGTGTAAGTGCACCTGTGTCGTGCAGTGTCCTCAGAGGTCAGAAGAGGGCGTTGGATTTTCCTGGAACTGGAGTTACTGATGGTTGTTAGCCACCATGTGGGTGCTAGCAATTGAACCCCAGTCCTTTTCAAGAGCAGTCATTACTCTTAACTGCTGAGCCATCTCTCCAGCCCCAGGAAATGTTTTCTGAATTACACTTGTGATACATTCCTAGAAAGACAGGGCTGTTTGTTACCACTTGTCTACATGCAGGAAACCTTACATTCAAGTGTTTCTGTGATCACAGTTCATTCCAGCAAATCTAAGGCTGCAAAAGTGGGAAAATGATGGAAGAAGTGACTTATTATTACTCACCTCTGATATTAAGATGACCAGTTTCTTCTTGTTATAAGCTTTTATAAAAAAAAAAAAAACTGCTTTCCTTTCAAGGAAAAATTATAAAAGTTGCTGTTGTGAAGTAAAAGTATAACTATTAGCGAAGATTTATAATTAAATTACATTGAAACAGTGAACTTGTACAGTGATTTATTGGTGCTTTTTCTTCTTTTTAATACTTGGTAGTGTTTGATCCTTCTGCAGTGTAAACATTACTGTGATTTCAAGTAAAAAAGGAAAAACAAGCTCTTTTCATTTAAAAGAGAACATAAAGTACATTAAAACTGCCTAAATGTCCTTTATTTAAAAAGAAAAATATTATATTGTGTGATTAAAGAATAGCATTTGAAGATAAGTCTTATAAAGATATTTTTAAACTCTACATATTTTTCCCAAGAGGTTTTCTTTGACTTACAGGCAGTATGATCAGCTCTCTGGAAGGTCTGGGTTCTGATAATGTTTTCAGCTTACATGAAGATAACCATTACCGAATAAGCAAAAGCCTGGTAAAATCTGCAGAAGGAAGCACTGTACCCTTGACCAGAGTGAAGTGTCTAGTTTCCATGACAACCCCACATGACATCAGACTTCATGGGTCATCCGTTACTCCAGCTTTTGTTGAATTTGACACATCCCTTGAAGGATTTGGGTAAGGAAACTGCAAGGTAGATAATCTGGGCCTTGTCTATTATTTTGTGGCTCATACTTGCCTTTATGAATAGATCTTTGGTTTTAAAATCTACCCAATTAAAATATGCTATGATACATGAAATGGTTTTTGTTTTGTTTTGTTTTGTTTGTTTTTGAGACATGGTCTCCCTGTAGCCCCAGGTAGCCTAGAAGTTACTATGTAGACCAGGCTGGCCTTGATCTCACAGGGATTAGACTGCCTCCCTCCTCCCAAGCGTTAGAATTAAAGGCACAGTACTCAGCTAACCTTTTAAATTATATTAAATATGGTGCTGGAGAGATGGCTCAGTGGTTAAGAGCACTGACTGCTCTTCCAGAGGACCCGAGTTCGATTCCCAGCACCCACATGATGGCTATGAACCATCCTTTACTCCAGTTCCAGGGGAATATGAAGCCCTCTTATGACTTCCGTGGTATTGCATGACATGGATGCACTCACATGCATGCAGGCAATACACTCATATACATAAAATAAAAATAAATAAAATTTTAAATTATATTAAATATATAGATAATAATAATAATAATAATAATAATAATAATAATAATAATGGAGTCAGTAGTCTAAGATCTGTGGCTTAGTAAGGTTTTTGTAAGCTTGATTGTTTTGTGGATGAAGATGTTTTATTGAGACCCTGGCTCATTCATGTTTCTCTGGCTGCTCTGGTACTGAGGTGGCAGAAGTGTGCCATCGTAGCAGGAAGCTGCCTGCTCACACTGTAGGAAAGGCTTGTCGTCTGGCTCTTTCCAGAAAGCTGGTCAGCCCCTGATATGGTAAATATAAATGTATAGATAACAAATGAAATTAGATTTAAAAGCTCTGATTGAGTTTTACCAGTCTGTCCCCCAAAGTATCTAAGCTAGTGTCTTCTTCATCACTAGTCAGTGACTCCTACTTCAGATGAGTAACTTTAAATGCCCCAGTATCGCTGCCACTCTCAGAAGCAGCAATAAAGACTATAGCAAACTAGAAGTTTGTGAGGTCTACCAGCCTCAGAATATATACAAGCATGTCTAATGACTGGATTATAAAGACAGGGAAGGGGCATAGGAGAGATATGTTTTGTGGGATGATGGAATTGCTCTAATGTTTTAATTGGGGTTGTATGTTTGTTTTACATATACAGATATTAATTTTTAGAGGATTTGAATTTTAAATGATACTGTGCAAGGTTTTAACATATCATTTGTACTCTCAGGTAATTAAAAGGCAGGAGAGCTTTGCTAGATACCCAGATTTACTCCATCATCTCCTGTGTCTAGTTACTGTTACATAGTTGTACACATTGATCATTTATTTCACTTTAGCACATCCATTGTGTTAAAAGACAGACAGTGGCTCTCTAACCCAGGTGTTTCTTTTCTAGTTGCCTGTTTCTACCCAGCTTGGCCCCCCACAACGCCCCTACCAACAATGCTGTCACAACAGGTCTTACTGATGGGGCTGTGGTCAGTGGCATTGGTTCCGGTAAATATCCTTTCTTTTTCCTCAATAAATATTTTTATTTACAATTTACTTACTATTATTAGCTCTTTTTAAAATGTAAATATGAGCCAAAAGCTCTTTCATTGTTGTTTTTCTGTTTTGACTTTAGGTGAAAGGTTCTTCCCTCCTCCATCTGGCTTAAGCTACTCTAGCTGGTTTTGCATTGAACACTTCAGTTCTCCTCCAAATACCCACCCTGTCAGGCTCCTCACTGTTGTGCGAAGAGCCAATTCATCTGAGCAGCATTACGTGTGCCTTGCCATAGTTCTGTCTGCAAAAGACCGGTCCTTAATTGTATCCACCAAAGAGGAGCTCCTCCAGAATTATGGTCAGTGTTTGTCTTTTTCTGTCCTCTTTTGATCCTACAAGTGAAAACCTCAACCTTTTCTTGAATGGGGTTTCACTATGTAGACCATGGATGGCCTCGAACTCTATATAGACGGAGCTGGCCTCAAACTCACTCTGCCTCTGCCTCCCAAGTGCTGGGATTAAAGGCGTGTGCTACCATATTCAGCCTGAAAACTTCATGTTAATACTCATTTTTAAGTTCTAATGGATAATCCTTTTCTAACTTTAGTAATTAGAACAAGTTATATGAAATCATGGCTGTTTACTAGTGAATTTTCAGACACTTTCTTTTCTTTGTATAACATATATAGATAGAAATACACTTACTCTTTGAGAATTTCGTACATGTGTACAATGTATTTTGATCCTATCCACACTCCTCCCCTTAAGGCACTTTCAAAAGTAACTTAGAAAACAAAAGAGTCTGAGCCTAATTAAGGACCCATGTTGCTTGCCAAGATTCAGAATTTTGCTAGGAAAGCAGCTTGTAGGTTTGATGTATTTTGATGAAATTATGATAGACTGAATTCTGCTTAAGTGAATAATATTCATTGAGCACCTGGGTACCATATGCGCAGCACTGTGCTTCACATAGTGACTTTTTATCACTTTTCCATCATTTACCTTCAAGACTTTCTTTGCAACTTTATAATCCCAATTTCCTCTAACATACATTACCTTATGTTAGTATCAAACAGAACTTCAAACTCAAGGCATTCATGAAGACCTTCCTAATATATATATGAACACTAAATATAAACCTCAGATTACTCATTTTTCTTTGCTTTGAGTATAATATATGTATTTAGAGAGCAGGCTTTTAATCACCTATTTTTCTCATTTTTACTAAATAGGTAATATTATATTGATTCACATGCGGTTGATAACTATTCACTGAATATGCATGTTAGCATTTGAATTTTATTGTAGTGTTTCTTAGTATTCTCCATGGTGTCTAGCATAGAGCTAAGTATCAGTATAGTTAGGACTTCCAAATTCTCATTTATCAGGGCTAGGATAGAGTTCTGAGGCAGAGGCCCTGCGTTCATCCCTGGCACAACAGTAAATGAAAGAAAATAAAATTCTCATGTGACACTTCACTTGCATCTGGTGCCTTTGATCCTATCAGCCTCTTGCCCCTCATTATACCCACATCAGTTATCTCCATTTTTCTGCCCTCTCCTCACAGTTTCTTTGATCACTTTCTCTGGTCTCTTCCCTTCAAAATTAGTATTCTTTGTATCCAGTCCACTCTTCATTGGGGGGTGTGAAGGGAAGGATCATCAGTTTGTGATTATTTTAGGTGTCTTTAATCCCAAGGAGTATGAAATCATTTTTTGTAATTTGTGTCCTAAGCTTGGAAGTCGTATTTCCTCATGCTTACTCAACATCCACATTTGAAATCTCTTCTTATATTCAGCTCTTTTCCTGACATTTACTTATGAAATCTACCTTTCCTATTTCCTTTCTTGGTAAGTGGCAATCCCCAGCTAAATTGCCAACTAGCAACCTTGAGTAAACCTTGAAAATCCCACCCTTTCTAATATCATAGGGTAGCATGTGTTTCTTGAACCCTCCCTTCCTCTTAGAGAGTGAAGCTCTCACACCATTTCTGTTTCTTTCTGTCTTTGTTTTTAGCACAAGGTCTCACTGTTAGCTCATGCTGTACTGAATTTCCTGATCCTCTTACACTGCCCAAGTGCTGTGATTGCAGTCATGTACCACCATGCCCAGTTTAATGCTGTCTTTGGGATTGACCCAGGACTTCATGCATGCTAAGCAAGCACTTCTAGCAACTGAGCTATGTCACCACCTCTTACAACATTTTTATAAGTAGTATTACTTCCATCTTCCTCCATCCTGGAGAGTATTTAGTCTATTAACAAGGAAAGGAAGGACACAAGTTTCTTGTTTCTCTGATGTGGTTTTTTTTTTTCAGGGTAGGCGGGAGATAAACCTGCCATGGCACATGTGTGGAGGTTAGAGGAGTTGGTTCTGTCCTTGCACCATGTGGGTTCCAGGAATCAAGCTCAGGTCATCAGGCTTGGCAGCAACTGCCTTTACCCACTGAGCCACTTCGCTAGCCTGATGTGCTTGTCTTTTTATGAGTATGTGTGCTGAATAGTTGAGCCCTGGCCTTCATCTATGCTAAGAATGTACTCTTAACACCAAGCTGTATTTCATCACTGTCTTTTATTTTTATTTTCATCCCTTGGTCTGTAACTATAGCCCTCTTGAGACTGTTTGACTCTATTTTCTATATGGTTATTTTAGATCTTTCTCTTATATGTCACCTGTTGGATTTTGTCTTTGTAGTCTTACATTAAAAAAAAAATATTTTATTTCTTTTATTTTGTGTGTATGAGACATGAATAATTATCAGAATTTCTTATTTTTATTTTATATTGCCTGCGTGTATGTGAGTGCATCCTTGTCATGCAATGCCACGGAGGTCAGAAGAGGGCTTTATTTCCCTGGAACTAGAGTTAAGGACGATTTGTAGCCACCATGTGGGTGCTGGGAATTGAACCCAGATCCTCTGCAAGAGCAGTCAGTGCTCTTAACCGCTGAGCCATCTCTGCAACCCCTATGTTGTAGTCTTAACTCGTCAACAGTTATGTATTCTGAATTGTCATTCTAAAATATAATTTTTCATTTTAGTTTAACAGATATTTTAATATTCCCAAAATAAAAATTAACATTTCATTTGTAGTCCTTTCGTATAATTTACTTTACATTCAAATATATTTACTTGTGTGTTTTTGTATTGAACAGCAGTTTGCTTTTTGTTATTATGGCTATAGTTTGGCTCTTACATGACTGATTTTAATGAGTGTTTAACATGCTATTGCTGTCTGTTCATCTATAAATAGTGAGAAAAGGTAGGACTGGGTTGTAGCTCAGCAGTAGAGTACATGTTTACCACATGCCAGGCTCTGGATTTGACCCCTAGCACCATCACCAAGACAAAAACAAACACTGTGAGTTAATTTTCAGTTAGATTACCATTAAAATCAGATGACTATAAACTCGTTTATTAACACATTCTGACAGTATGCTGGGCAATTGAGAGAAGCCAGTTAGAGTTGACAGTTGTTGCTGAAATATTAGCAAATTGAAGATTCCTGTTTATGGGACAGAGTTCTCCATAAAGCAAGAGCTTGAGTGAGTTAATACCTTTCTGCATCACATCATGCAGTATCTCCTTCCCCTCCTTCCTAGCTGTTGTTAGTAAGGTTCTGGACAGTATGTCCACAAACTAACAACAGATTATGGAATGAACAAGGTATCTTCCTTTACATCTTTTTTTGTTTGTTTGTTTTAACATACTGTCAGAATATGCTGATCCAGACATGAATAGTTATCAGAATATGGACAACCTATGCAAGTGCTTTTAATATCTTTCTCCCACTTTTAGTTGATGATTTCAATGAAGAATCCTCTTTTTATGAGATTCTCCCATGCTGTGCCCGCTTTCGATGTGGAGAGCTGATAGTTGAGGGACAGTGGCATCATCTGGTTCTGGTAATGAGCAAAGGCATGCTGAAGAACAGCACCGCAGCCCTCTATATTGACGGGCAGCTTGTTAACACTGTAAAGGTAAGCATTGTACATAGGGAAACACACCTGCTTTGAAGATAGCTCAAGAGTGAGGAAGTGGAGGTGGGGGGAGGTTATTACAAGCGTGCTACACAATACTAGGGGCCATTCTTAATGCATAGATAGATGTGACCTGAAGTTAGGTGAAGTTATGAAAAAACAATCAGTGAAAATGTTCTCATCCCATCAAGTGACAACCTGCCAATGTAAGCTGTACCCTCTGTATTTATTAAAAATAAATTGATTGATAATCAGAGCATCCGATCAGTAAACAAGAGCATTTTCAAATCTGAGAATGTCAGTCAACAGTTCCTACTATCTTACATTGAGATAAAATATGTGTATATAGTTATAAATTTCATTTTTCTAGATATTAAGGTACTTTTCATCAGTAATTATTAAGACTTACATTGAAGGTGGTTTAATTTCAGAACTACCAACCCTAAAATTTCAGAGAAACATCATTAATTTGGTAAGCAGGTCACAGGCAGTGAGTGATAGTATTCTTGTATTTAATTGTTGCCATTTCTAGATATAACTTACTTTAAGAATTTGATAACAGATTTTAGTTTTTAAAAAAATCATTTATTTTGTGTGTGTGTGCTTTCATGAATTCATGTGTGCCACATGTGTACAGTGCCCACTAAGGCCAGAATAGGGCGTTGGATCCCCTGGAACTGGAGTTAAAGATGGTTGTAAGCTACCATGTATGTGCTAGGAACCAAGAGTAGTAAATGCTGGTCCTCTGCAAGAGTAGTAAATGCTTTTAACTGCTGAGCCATTTCACCAGCCCCTTAATAACATATTTTAATTTTATTTATTATTTTTATTTTATTTTATTTCGTGTATTGCCTGCATGTAGGTAAGTGCACCCGTATTTTATTTTATTTTATTTTATTTGTATGAGTGTATTGCCTGCATGTAGGTAAGTGCACCCACGTCATGCAGTGCCTGTAGAGATCAGAAGACGGTGCCAGATCCCCTGGAACTAGAGTTATGGAGGGTTGTTAGCCACCATGTGAGTGCTGGGAACTGAACCCTGGTCCTCTGCAAGAGCATCTTATGCCCTTAACTGCTGAGCCATCTCTTATAGCCTCCAATAAGAGCTTTTAAACCACCATATTCAGTTCCCAGCTACAGATCCTAGAATCTGCGCTTATCCTTGTGTTTCTCCACTTGTTTATGAATGTTTGTAAAGTCATGTGACCTGGGGATAATGAAAATTGACATAATAAAGTAGTTAGTCTTGGCAAAAACAAAACAACAAAAAACAAAGAACAAACCCACAACCTTTTCCACATCTCATACTTGTGTTTTTTATAGTTGCACTATGTTCACAGCACTCCTGGGGGCTCTGGTTCTGCAAATCCCCCGGTGGTGAGCACAGTCTATGCCTACATTGGCACTCCACCTGCACAACGCCAGATTGCTTCACTGGTTTGGCGCCTGGGACCCACTCATTTTCTAGAAGAAGTTTTACCTCCTACTAATGTTACTACTGTATATGAACTTGGACCAAATTATGTTGGAAGTTTTCAGGCTGTATGTATACCATGTGAGTAACTTATTCTCAGTTCTTGAAGCTGTATGAGACTTAACTCTTGCAATATTGATGCATGTATGTATAGGACCATAAATCCTTTAGCTAGGAGAAGGACCTTCTCTACTAATTTTCTTCAACATGGTTTTATTGATCACTCCTAATGAAAATCCTCTTCTTGGACTGAGGATATAGTCAAGTATAGAATGCTTAACTAGCATGTCTGAGGCCCTAGGCTCAATCCCCAGCACTGCAAGTGAAGAAATACGTACATAAAATAAAACACAATGCTTTTCTAATTTATTGTCTGAACACCGATTAATTGTCCAAATTCCTTTCTTGGATTGAAGATGTGGGCATTTACCCTTGAAGAGGCCAACCTCAGTCACGTTTTCTTTCTGTAACTTCTACATGAAGCCATTTAAAGTATAGCTACTCCTGTTAAAGAAGGAGTAAATGTGTCCAATAAATTCAGGCATATGCTTAAGATTAAACCAGTTAATGTCACTTTTCCTCATCACTTTTTGCCTACAGTCCATTTTTTAAAAATCCCCTTTCCCAAAAGAAAAATAGAATAAAAGAGCTGATGTTCAGCAACAGTTTATTTGTGCCCTTCCAAATGATGTCTGCTTTTTCCTTGTTGATTTCACTAAGGTCTCATAGAAGGTAAGACAAATATATTGTAAATATTAATAGCCCTATAATGATTGAGTAATTTGTCTGTTCACTCAATCTTGATTAACATAGTGTTCAATAAGAGCTGATACTTTGTGAATACTTACCATGTGCTAAGTCATTAACATGCACGAAGAACATTTGTTCTGAGCCCTTCATGTTTATTTATCGATCTCAAATGATAGTGTTAGATACTATCATTATGACACATAGATGATAGAATGTGTGTGTGATATGCCACACAGCCTGTAAGTAATAAAGCAAGATTATAAAATGTGTGCTTTTCCCCACACTACTGTGTTGTCCCAGGGAGTATGGAGAGGTGTAATGGGGCTCTAGATTGGCAGAGAGCCTGGCACTACAAGGTTCCTAGGCTCGCATGCATTTTCATTCCTTTCAAAATAGAATCAAGTGCTTTATGAATTATTACATAGAAAAATTCTTTTTCTTCCTTTACAATAGACTATGAAAATATTTTCATATGTAAAGTTCTATGGCTGTTAAGTCCTATATCCACTTAAACAAATAAAGAACTAAAAATTAAGTAAAATGGCTTTTGCATTTAACTCTCTTGTTCAACTTTTTAAAATGTTCAAGTTCACCCGAGCAAAAATGACAGCAAGAATTAAAAAAAAAAATGTACTTGGAGAGGAAAATTGCTGACAATTTTGAAAGAGAATTATTCTTTTGAAGGCAAAGATGCAAAGTCTGAAGGTACTGTCCCATCACCCGTGTCATTAGTTGCAGAGGAGAAGGTGTCCTTTGGCCTCTATGCACTCTCTGTGTCCTCCCTAACAGTGGCAAGAATTCGGAAAGTCTATAACAAGTTGGATAGCAAAGCCATTGCTAAACAGGTAAGCAGAATGCTTTCCCAGTAAGTCATGGCACACTCTTACTGGGAAGATACCAGAATTTCCTTATTGACACAACCCAAATATAAGTAGTTGCTGAAAAATAGTGCGTAATTTACAGGGGTTTTTTAAACTTGAAATTTAAATATTAAATATATTTAGTGTGTTAAATATATTTATCCCCTCTCTTCCCCCCAAGTATATCGGCATCTAATTCTAGGAACTTGTGCTTATATTACTTTATACAGAAAAGGGGAATTTAGGTTGCATGTAGAATTAAAATTACTAATCAAGTCATGGTAGAATAGGAAAAGTATCCTAGTCATCTAGATGGGCACAATTGAATCATAAAGATTACTCAAAGGTGAAATCCAAGGTGGAAAAATGGTCCAGGTGAGAAGATTCAGTCTCCTGTTGGGCCCATGAGCCAAAGAATGCATGAACGCAAGAAAATGAGTTGTTCTCTAGAAGGAACACAGCCCTGCCAGTGCTTTCATTGTAGGCCATCAAAACCATGTTTTATTTACTTCAACCGTTAGAACTGTAAGACGATAAATATATACCATCATTAACTTGATGGTAATTTGGTAAAGCAGCCATAAGAAACTGACACAGCCTTCCTCCCTGAAGGGTAGATTTCCTGGGTACAAAACTCTACAATGGCAAGGATTCTCTATCAGCACGTTAGACATGTTCACTTTCTATTCTAGTTTCATTCTGTTGCTGTGATAGAACACCCTGACCAAAAGCAACTGAAGGGACAAGGATTTACTTCATCTTAGAGGTTTCAGTACATCATGTGGGAAGTCAGGGCAGCAACCATGGAGGATTTCTGCTTGCTGGCTTAGCCCACTGGCCCACAAAGGCTGGTCCCTCCTACATCAGTTAACAGTCTGATCTAGACTGTGCCTTATTGCAGGCTTTCCTCTCAGATGTGTCAAGTTGACAGTGAAAACTAACTGGGACTTTATTGTACTGTTCTCTAGTTTCTCATGTAAACTTGGAGCATTTTGACTAACTTCTGGATTCTTCCAAATTTTTCCATCATTGTTCTTTAGAAATTTGACATACATACCTAGAGTTTTTGAAAAACTTATATTCTGATTATATTTAGTGCATCTCTTGAATTATAAAGCCACATTGTTCACTAAATTTCATTCACAATTTTTTTCCAATATGTTTTCTGCTATATTTTCTTACTTTTATCTTGGATTCTAAGTAGCACATTTGCCTTTTTCATGTTGCCTCCCTCATGTCATGTTCAGGTTATTTGGCTCCTAATTTAAGCCAGACATACTTAGATATGTAGCTTAATTTGGGAAAGTAAGCATTTCTTACTAAGAATTGCCTGCTTTGGCAATTCAGAAGTTGGACTCACAGCTGTGAATGTAGTTCAGCTATGGAACACTTGCCTAGCATGCACAAGGCCCTGGGTGTGAGCTGCAGCTCCACATAAAGCTAACTTTACAACTGAAGAATACCATTGCAGTTGGGTTTTTGTTTGTGTGCTTAGTAGGTCTGGGACTTTCTGAGACAGGTTCTTACTACATTGCCTATGTTGGTTTCAAACTGGCAGTCCTCCTGCCTTGGCCTCCCAACCACTGGGATTAAAAACTTGTCCCACCACATCCCACCACACCTGACTTCCCAGTAGTGGTGGTTGTTGTTTAACTCCTATGGTTAGAGCTGTCCCTCAGCAGCATTTTGTTTTGTTTTGTTTTGTTTTTGAGACAAGGTTTCCCTATAGCCTCAGCTGGCCTGGAACTCACTATGTAGACCAGGCTGGCCTTGAAATCACAGCAATATGCCTGCCTCTGCCTCCTGAGTGCTGGGACTAAAAGTGTGCGCCACCGTGCCCGACTTGTCAGCAGCATTTTGTCATGTACCATGAGCCAAGTACCGTTTGTTTAGGACACTGCAGTAGAATGAAGGCTGACAAGATGGTTCAGTAAGTAAAGGCACTTGCTGCCAAGCCTTTCAACCTGAGTTCAGTCCCTAGGACCCCACCTGAATTTGATCCCCAGGACCATATGGTGGAATGAAAGAATCAACTCTGAAAAGTTGTTCTCTGACCTCCATATGCATACCCACACAACACCCCCCACATACACACTCAAAGAAATAAATGTAATTTAAAAAGAAATTTTTAAAGCAACATGAAACAAAAACTCCTCCTCTCCTCCATGTTTCTGAAATGCTGGAGGAGGATCCTAGTGTGTGCATTTGATATTGTCCTCATGTAGTCATATTTCATCCGTATACTTGTGGAGAATTTTATACAAATTAAGTTGACTTGGATCTAAAGTAAAGTAAAATGATGAACAGCTTTCAAGCGCTGACAAAGCTTCATTCACAAAGTCTGTCAAAGCCCTGTCTAAACATCCCTGCCACCTCTAGCTCAGGAGATTATATTTAACTAAACTTTGGACATACTTGCCCAATTTAAAGAAATGAATACTCACATTTTACATATTCTGATAAATGAGAATCAAAAGATTTGTTACCAGTCATAATTTTTTTTTCTAATCAAAATGGCCAGACTGTTCTTCTCTAATGACATTTTCTTCCTTCCTATTCTCCAGTTAGGCATCTCCTCCCATGAGAATGCCACTCCAGTGAGGCTGATACACAATGCAGCAGGCCATCTGAATGGACCTGCTCGCACCATCGGGGCCACTCTCATTGGTTACTTGGGTGAGTTCAAGTTGCCTTTGCTTTTCAAGCTTATTTGCCTTCAAATTTACATTTACTTTTCTTCATATAAAGAGGGGGGTGGTAAGTGTTTAAGTTGTGGCACATGACCTGCCCCAAATTCTAAGCAAGTTTTAAATATAAGCTTTCCTAAAATCTCATTGATATATCTCTTGTCAGCACTGATGAAGACTAACTGTATGCTTCTGTGTAAACTGCATATGGCATGGAGAAGCAGGTGTGAAAGTTCAGAACTATCATTCATTGTGCCATGGTTTAGTTCAATGGTGGTTTTTGCTTTTGTGTCTTTTCTGTTACTTAGAAATGAGCTAAAAAGTGCTGGAGCTATAGATCCACAGTGCAGCATGTGCCTTGCATGCATGAAGTCTGAGGCACAATTCTCATTACTGCCAAAAAGCAACAACTACAAAAAAAGCTAAATAGGAGGGCCCGAGGTTAGAATCAGTGTCTAGTCTAGCTATGATGAAAGTTTGGAGACCTGTATCCTCTAGAAGACCTTTTAAAAGAGTTGAAAATTTTGGTTAGGCATATCTTAAGGCATTATTCAATCAGGCCACCCAAAATTCAATATCAATGATTATTCCTTTTTAAAATTTTATTTTTATGTGTATGAGTTTTTTGCATGTGAGTGCACCTGTGCATGCAATGCCCGGGGAGATCAGAAGAGTGTGTTGGATCCCCTGGAACTGGAGTCATAGACAGTTGTTAGCCTCCATGTAGGTTCTGGAAATTGAACCTGGGTCCTTTGCGAAAGTAGCCAATGCTTATGAGCCATCTTTTTAAAAATATTTTTATTTTATTATTTGTGTGTGTGTGTGTGTGTGTGTGTGTCTGTGTCTGTGTATGTCTGCACGACTGTGTCTGTGCATTTGTGTCTAAAAGGATACACATGTATGTATGGGTACCTGCCAAGGCCAGAAAAGGGAGTCAGATCCCTGGATGGCAGGAGTGTGGTGCAGTAGAAAACAGTGAGAGAACTGCTCAGAGAGCAGTTTCCAGTCCTTGCTGTCACTTTGTGAAATCAGACCAGATGCTGAAGCTCTCTGAGCTTCAATTTTCTTACCTAGGAACTAACACTTGCTGTCCTGGTTTTGTTTCTTCATTGCTGTTGACAAAACATTCTGACCACTACCAACTTGGGGAGGAAAAGGTTTATTTATCTTACATCTCCTGGGTCACAGTTCATCAGGGAGCCCAAGGTAGGAACTCAGGGCAGGGAACTGGAGCACGGGCTAAGGAGGAACACTGCTTACTGACTTGCTCCCCTGGCCCCTGCTCAGCCTGCTTTCTTATGCAACACTGGCCCACCTGCCCAGGGATGGCACTACCCACAGTGGGCTGGGCCTTCCCACATCACTCAACAATCAAGAAGGTGCCCCATGGACATGGCCATAGGCCAGTCCAATGAAGGCAATTCCCCAATTGAGGTTCCCTCAACCCAGGTGTGTCAAATTGACACTAAAGTTATCCAGCATCCTTGCCCTAACTGCCTTGAAAAGTAGGTCTCAAAATCCAGTTCTGCCATGTTAAAATAGTATAAATGCTCATCCTGCCACCTGGTGTAGAGTTGTCACAGTGTACTCCCTAGTAAGGCACTCAGCTCAAAATTCATTCGTACCACCTCTGTGTTTCTGCATCTCTATGTTGCCCAAAGCTATACCCTGCAAAAATTGATGTTCCCTCTAAAACCCATCTCTTTTGTACTCCCCCTTCTCTCTGCGAGTATGCAAATTAATATTTATTGTCTTCTCCCAAACTCTACCTTTGATTTTAGCACTGCAAGTTTATGGGTGTCAGGTGTTCATTTCTTTGTAAGTTCCTCCATTTCCCCCCTCCCTACCCAAGATATAAAATGAAAAATTCAGATTGAAAAAAATGAAATTTATAACTATAAACAAACAGTATGACTTACTCACTTCTTATTCACATGGGGGATTTATTTTAATTATTTTTCACTATCTTTTAATTAGGAGTAAGAACATTTGTCCCTAAGCCTGTTGCCACTACTTTGCAGTACATTGGAGGAGCTGCAGCCATCCTGGGCCTAGTGGCCATGGCCTCTGATGTGGAAGGGCTGTATGCAGCAGTCAAGGCCCTGGTTTGTGTGGTCAAGAGTAACCCACTAGCCAGTAAGGAAATGGAAAGAATCAAGGGCTACCAGGTTCGTAACTATAAAGCTTTGCCTTCACTTCCCTCCAAAGATAATCTAATTTTCTTTGTCATATTGTTTAAACTCTGGAACAATTGTATTGTTGACGTAAACTTAAAAGCCGCTTTTTTTTTTTTTTTTTTGGTCTTTTTGAGGTAGGGTCTTCCTGTAGCTCCAGCTGGCCTGGAACTCACTTTGTAGACCATAGACTAGGCTGGCCTCTAACACATAGAGATCCATTTGCCTGCCTTTGCCTCCAAGTACTAGGATTAAAGGCATGTGCCATCACACCCAGCAAAGCCATTTTTATTTTAAAAAAGTAGCACATCAAATGAGAAAATGTGTATAGTTGTATTTAATTTGATTTTATCTGGTCTTATGATACTCTTGAATTAGGCCACATTGTTTCAGCTAGCTTTGATATATTTGATAAACAGACCCTCTGGCAATTCATTGTCTCTGGGCAATTCATTCTAGGACTCCCTGCAAGTCTCTAGGATGTTTAAGACCCCTAACATGGTATCAATTTTACATATAACCTGTGCATACCTTCTTGTATCCTTAAATCATCTCTAGGATACTTATTACCTACTAAAATGTGAATATTATTCCAATAGTTACTATATAGTATATGCATTAGGGAATAATTACAGGAAAGAGTCTATGTGGTTCCTTTAATGGAATATTTTTTATTTTCATTTGATTAGATCTGTCCATATAAAACCCATGGGTACATAAAGCAAAGTGTAATTTTAAATCACAATTCACTTGTTGAGATGTTGTTTCTCTTCTTTCAAAGGGGAATGAAATAAGATAGAATCATAATACTTCCCACTCTGAAACTCCAGGTTTGATCCAGCTAGGCTCTCCCCATATTCTTTGTGACTCTCTTCCACTTCACACCCCATCTTCTTTCTGTAGCTCTTTTATTTGGTCATTTTTGAGACAGGGTCTCCCTGTAGCCCCAGCTGGCCTGGAACTTACTGTGTAGACTAGGCTGGCGTCGAACTCACAGAGATCCACCTGCCTCTGCCTCCCAAGTGCTGGGATTAAAGGCATGCGCCACCACACCCCACTAGCTCTTTTACTGAACCAGAAGATGTAAAGCCACTACCATACCATTACTATTCCCGAGGATTCAGGTGGAATTTTAAAATATGCAAAATCCAGGCATACATAGTCTATACCAAATTTAGGGGAGAAATCATGCAAATGAAGTAATTTGAAACAAGTATTTGAGGCAAGATTAAATCTGTCAGTTTTGTTTTGGGGGTTTGTAAATAAGTAAACTATTTAAGTAAATGTTTTGTTTTGGAATACTTCCAAAATGATTCTTGTTGAATTTTTACCATGGAAACGTAAGAACAATGGATATGCACTACAGTATGAGGTGACTAACTATATTTTGATCATCCCACAGTCTTCTATGTCTGTTATTGTGAAGACCGTTACAGATTTGTGTAGAGAAAATGGTGCACAGTTGTATGCCTGTTATAGCAGAACTAGTTAATAAATATTTTATTGAATGGAAGATGCTAATATAAAAGTGTTTTAAAAGGATGGTATTATTTCGGTTTTTAGATTGACATAATGGAAATTTGAAAATCAGCTTGTAAGTCCCAAGGATTGATCTCCCTAGGATTCTTGCCTCTGTGTTGGCATAGGTGATGATTTCTCAGCATGTCTTTTCTGTTTCTTTCTTACAGTTGCTGGCAATGCTGCTTAAGAAGAAACGTTCCCTTCTCAACAGCCATATCCTCCACCTAACATTCTCCCTGGTGGGAACTGTTGATAGTGGCCATGAGACCTCCATTATTCCAAATTCAACTGCTTTCCAGGACCTGCTATGTGATTTTGAAGTATGTATAGAACCACTAAATGAAAATATATAGTGGATGAATCCATCAAAATTTTTCCATATCCTGAGAGAGTTAATATTTATTATCTCCAAGATAACATGTTTGAAGTTCTAAAACTTTATGATGATCATATTAATATCATTTAGTAAAACATAAAAAAGAATAATTATATCCAAATACAATCCACTCCACAAACATTACAAAAGTGAAATACTGCCACATATATACTGAAACTGTCCCTCACTCCTGTGACTGGAGTTGCAAGAGGGAAACATTCACAGCCAGCAATCCTAATCCTTATTTTCCCATAATGAGTAAAATCTAGATTTGTAATTCAAGTTTTTAGCAGGTACATAGCAAACGAACATTTGTTTTGCCTAAATAGCACGTTGTTCATTTATTCTGTCCTATTACCATAGTATTTCCTGCCATCCTTTCAAATACCATAGACACCCACTAGCCATTTAACTTCTCTTCTCTTTTATGTACTAGTCGCTATACAATGAATGCTTGTGTTACATCCCTTAGAACAACAGGATCTCTAGGCATTGTGTCTGGAAATAGGCCTGTATCTGTACTACTCAGGATGGTACCAGCACCTAAATGATTGTAAGCAGCTCTGATATACTAAGTCCCAACTCTTTTTCCTCATGATTTCTGCACAATGTTTGGTCCACCATAAATCTCTAACAAAGCAGACTGTGTGTCCTAATTGCTTTTACTGAAAATATATTTTCAGAGCTTATTCACAGCTTCCTTCTAAGTAAAAATCCATGGCCTGTGCTTGGTCCTTCACATCCACAGCTTTCAGAAGCACTTGATGTGGTTGCTTTCCTCTTCTGCAACTCCTCCATCTCTTGTCAGTGCTCAAGAGATTGTCCTTATGCCCTTCTCACTATTCTTCTTTCTTTCTTTCTTTCTTTCTTTCTTTTTTTTTTTTTCTTTTTGAGACAGGGTCTCCCTGGGGTTGGCCTGGACCTCACTATGTAGACCAGGCTGGCCTTAAACTCACAGAGATCCGCCTGCCTCTGCCTCAGTGCTGGGATTAAAGGCGAACACCACCACGCCCAGCTATTCTTTTTTTTTTTTTCTTTTTTGTCTCCCAGTAGCCCCAGCAGGCCTGGACCTCACTATGTAGACCAGGCTGGTCTTGAACTCATAGAGATCTGCCTGCCTCTGCCTCCTCAGTGCTGGGATTAAAGGCAAGCGCCATCATGCCCAGCTATTCTTTCTTTTTTTTTTTTTTTTTGTCCTTTTTTTTTTTTTTTTGGTCTTTTTTGAGACAGGGTCTCCCAGTAGCCCCAGCTGTCCTGGAACTCACTATGTAGACCAGGCTGGCCTTGAACTCATTAACCTTAAATACACTGTGCCTCCCTAGTCCTGGGATTAAAGGCGTGTGCCACGACACCCAGCTCAAACTTACTTATTTTTACTTTATGTGTTGAGTGTTTTACCTTCATGCATGTAAGTGCACCTGTGCATCAGATCTCCTGGAATTGGAGTTACTGACAGTTGTTATCCTCCATGTGGGTGCTCGAAACTAAATCCAGGTCCTCTACAAGAGCAGCCAGTGCTCTTAACCACTGAGCCATCTCACCAGCCCACCTTTCTCACTTAGTACGATTTTATCTCCATGCAGTTTTGTTTTATTTAAAGCTTTCTATCTTCTCTGCTTTCTGTGCTCTGCTTTTCTCCTCTCCTCTCCTCTCCTCTCCTC